CATCAACACCACCCCTACTTGGCCAGCGTTTACCAAAGCCCTTTGTCGCGAGTTTGGACCCTCTGCTTTCGACGATAGTGCCGAGGCTCTCTTCAAACTTCGCTAGCTCGGTACTCTTCGTGATTATATCGCTGAATTTCGCCGTTTAGCTACTCGTTCACCTGAGATTAGCCCTCTTCTGTTACGCAGTTGCTTTTTAGGGGGGTTGAAAAAGGAACTTCGATATGATGTCAAGTTGTTACAACCGGCAAATGTCCATGAGGCGATTGCCATTGCGGTGCAGCTTGATGCCAAGCTTACGGAGCTCAAATTGATTCCATCTCGAAACCATACAGCTTCTAAACCATTTTCAACCATTGTTCCACCTTCCTCCCATACTGTGCCACACACTAGCAACCTTGCTATTAAGAAGCTAACCCCGGAGGAGATCCAGAGGAAGAGAGCGCGAGGAGAATGCTGGTTTTGCCCTGATAAATGGGTAATTGGTCATAAGTGTGGTCTTAAGCAACTATTGATGATGGATGTGATGGATTCTGAAGTTGTGGAAGACAATATAGAGGTCGATCACCCTGAGTTGCAGCACATGGAGCTTAGTGAATGTGCTTTTTATGGCACTGATGGAGGCTCTCCAAAACACACTATGAAAGTGCTTGGTCAGATTAATGGTCACCCTGTGAGAATTTTACTTGACTCAGGTAGTTCACACAATTTTGTTGATTCCAAATTGCTTAAACGATGGGGATGGCAAGCAGAAACTACCAAGGCTTTTCAGGTCATGATAGCCGATGGAGGCAAAGTTACAAGCTCTGGTTGTTGCAAGGCTGTGGAATTGTCTCTTGCAGGGTATCATTGTCTTACAGATCTGTATTCCTTGTCTCTAGGGGGTTGTGATGTAGTTTTAGGGGTGCAATGGCTCTCCACCGTGAGCCCTGTGTTATGGGATTTCCAACTACTTACTATGAAGTTCACTAAGGACCACCAAACCTATAAGTTGTCCCATTATTCTTCAGATGTCTCAATCATTCAAGAAGTCTCGCTGCACCAATTAGATAAGGAGCTAGTTAACTCTAACTTGGGGTTACTTTTGTATTCCATGGAAGAAGAGACACTAGAATCCTGTGACCTAAATCCAGTACAGTTGCAGGAGCTGCCGCAACTCTTGTGTAAGTTTGAGGCACTCTTTGTCTTGCCTACCAAACTTCCCCCACCGAGAGACCATGATCACCATATTCCTTTGGTGCAAGGTGCCAAACCCCCAAACATCCGACCATACCACTATGGTCCATTGCAAAAAACGGAAATAGAAAAGGCAGTTCAGGAGCTGCTAGAGGCAGGTTTCATAAGGCCAAGCCACAGTCCTTTTTCTTTCCCTGTGTTACTTGTCAAAAAGAAAGAAGGTACTTGGCGTATGTGCATTGACTATTGAGAGCTCAATGCCCTTACTATTAAGGATAAATATCCCATACCCCTTATTGATGATCTGTTGGATGAGTTGCAGGGCTCTCTCTATTTCTCTAAGCTAGACTTACGATCTGGATATCATCAGATCTTAATGCAACCTGGGGACATTGCCAAAATTGCATTTAGGACTCATGAAGGACACTATGAGTTCCTAGTTATGCCTTTTGGGCTTACAAACGCTCCTGCCACATTTCAAGGTTTAATGAATGCTTTATTCAAGCCCCATTTGAGAAAATGTGTGTTAGTCTTCTTTGATGACATTCTTGTTTATAGTCGGACCTGGGAATCCCATTTAGCCCATTTGCAGATGGTATTTGAGATATTACAGGCCAATCAACTCTTCCTCAAGAAATCTAAATACTCCTTTGGACAAAATAGAGTTGAGTACTTGGGTCATATTGTCTCTAAGGAAGGAGTAGCACCTGATCCTCGAAAAATTGAAGCTATACAAAGTGGGCCTGCACCAAGAAACGTCAAGGAACTCAGGGGGTTCCTTGGTTTAACAGGCTACTATAGAAAATTCGTACCAGGCTTTGGCAAGATTTGCCAGCCCTTATACCACTTGACAAGGAATGATGGATTTCAGTGGGATGTAGAAGCTCAACAAGCTTTTGACAAGCTTAAAACAGCTATGGTTTCTCCACAGGTGTTGGCACTACCCGATTTTTCCAAGCCTTTTGAATTAGAGTGTGATGCCTCAGGCTGTGGTATTGGAGCTGTACTACAACAAGAAGGACGACCTATTGCTTTTTCAAGCCAGTCACTAGGTCCAAGGAATCAAGCACTTTCCACTTATGAAAGAGAACTAATTGCAGTGGTTTATGCAGTACGGAAGTGGCAGAATTATCTCCAAGGACGACATTTCATAATTAAGACTGATCATAACAGTCTTAAATATTTTCTACACCAACGAGCTCATACTGCATTCCAACAGAAATGGGTATCTAAATTGTTGGGGTATGATTATGAGATACAGTTCAAAAATGGCTCCCAAAATGCAGCAGCCGATGCCTTATCCAGGCTACATGGGGTGCCTAGGCTACAAGAATCGTTGGAGTCAACGGGAGCATGCTATGCCATTTCTTACCCATACCATGGATGGATTGACGAACTAAGAAGAAGCACTGAACAAGATGAGTGGATCCAAACAAAGAAAAAAAAAGTTCTTGACTCCGCACTCAATGGCACAAGTGATTCTTCTTTGGGAAAGTACACTATTGACAACGGATTTTTGCTTTACAAGCACAGAGTGGTGTTGAGTCCTCATTCAGAATGGAAAAGGAAAATTTTAGCAGAATACCATTGTACACCTTCTGCTGGTCACCAAGGAGTACTTAAAACATACCAAAGAGCCAAGAGAGGCTTCTATTGGCAGGGAATAAAGAGAGATATCAAGACTTATGTGGCGGAATGTCAAGTGTGCCAACAAAACAAAGTGGAAACCATTTCTCCACCAGGGTTGCTGCAGCCTTTGCCTATTCCCCAACGAGTCTGGACAGACATCAACATGGATTTCATAGGAGGACTGCCTTTATGCAAAGGAAAATCTGTGATATTAGTGGTGGTTGACAGGCTGTCCAAGAGTGTTCACTTCATAGCAATGTCCCACCCATACACGGCAATCACAGTGGCTCAGGCCTTTATTGACAATGTGCTGAAACTTCATGGCATACCAAGGTCAGTGGTCAGTGATCGAGACCCTATTTTTGTCAGTGCTTTTTGGCGGGAATTGTTCAAATTACAAGGATCCAAATTGTGCATGAGCTCTGGTTACCATCCACAAACTGATGGGCAGACCGAAGTGATGAACCGGTGTCTTGAGACCTATTTGAGGTGTTTTGTGGGAGGTCAACCAAAGAAGTGGGTACAATGGCTTCCCTGGGCCGAGTGGTGCTTTAACACTTCCTACCATTCATCTGCAAAATTCACACCTTTCGAACTTGTCTATGGCTATCCTCCTCCCCAAGTTATACCCTATGAATTCGGTACTGCAAGAGTGGAAACTGTGGGACAGAGTTTAATGGAAAGGGATAAGGTCTTATCCATGCTTAAACACAATCTGGAAATGGCTCAGAATCGCATGAAAATGCAGCAAGATAAGAAAAGAACGGAGAGGCAATTCGAAGTTGGGGATTTTGTGTATCTAAAACTGATTCCTTATCAATTGCAGACCCTATCTCCTCACAGCTACCATAAGCTTCTGCCACGATACTATGGTCCTTATGAGATTTGTGAAAAGGTTGGGTATGTGGCCTACAAACTGAACCTACCACCAAACACAAAAATCCACCCTGTGTTCCCTGTGAGTCAATTGAAGAAACACCTGGGAACTAGAGCAACAACACAGACTGTCCTGCCACAGGTTGTTGAAGATGGGTTGGTAGGGAATGTCCCTGTTGCAGTGTTGGCAAGAAGAATCTATAAGAAAGGAGATGTTGCTGGAGTTCAATTACTAGTACAGTGGCAAAAGCAAGAGGAATCAGAGGCGACCTGGGAGGATTTTGATGAGTTCAAAGCCAAATACCCCTCATTTCCTCTCTGAAACCTTGTGGACAAGGTTCTCTAAAGGGAAGGTATTGTTATGAACTAATCGTGATTGTCTTAGTCACAGTGAGATTTTAGTAAGGGTAGTAAGGACTAAAGTGTAAGGTAGTTAAAGGCATAATTGTAAGGGGTTAAAAGTATGGGGTTCGATTATAATGGGCCAATACTTAGTAGAAGGTTTCAGTAATTGTCAGTCATTGTCCAGGTGGCACTTTTGTATTGGGGAATTGCAGGCATGTGGGATATACATGCTCCCGAAATTATTGTAATGGCAACTTTTGGAAAAATCAGTTTATATTTCTCTTTTGGTTCTCTCTCTATTCTATCACTCTCTCTCACTTTCATAGCTACCGGTTCTGGTTGATTCTCCGGTGCCGGTTGGGTTCCTAACACAATTTGGCTTCCTGCTTTTCAATGGTGAGGGTCCAGGTGTTGGGCTTTGCGGAAGAAACACAGTCACTGCCATGGAGGGGAGGGAAAGATAGGGAATGGAGGGGAGAGAGAGTAGGAGAGGAAGAAGACGGCTTGCCTGAAGGAGGTTTCACATGTGAATTATTTTTTCTTTTTCTTTTTTAATTGAGATTATGATTTTATTAGGGTGCAACGGGATAATATAAGATTATTAATTAATCAATCGTTGGATTAATCTATGGATTTATATGAAAGAGGACCTCACATGTCCTCAAAATGAAGATGTTAAGAGTGCATTATTGAAAAAACATAATTGTACTCACTCTAAAAATAGCCTATGATTTGGGATCTCGATGTACAAACCCAATATGTATTTATTATAAATCTTTTAACATAGTCAAAAGTAGATTTTGTTTTTCAAAATTTCACTTTTTAGGACATGATGCTTAACGCGTTTGATATTTACAGAGAATTATAAAGACATAATAGAAAATTATGCCTCCATAATGAATCCACGCGGTAAAATCCACAGTAACCTGGACAAGACAAACACTAGAGATTCACTGACGATTTGAGATAAAAAAAAAAAAAAAAAAAAAAAAAAAAAAACCGAACAAAAAACCAATCGTCGCCACCCGACACTCCACTCTCGGATCCGACTTAATATTCCCCATCCCATTCATTCCCCCTTTCCCTTTCCATCTCTCTCCTCCTCCTCCCTCCTCCACCGCCCACATCCCACCAGATGCTTCATCTCTCCCATTTCCACCACTACCCCCACTCAAATTCCCTTTCTGCCCCTCCCAATTTCCCCCATTTCCTCTCCCTACCCCCTCACCGGCACCGCCACCTCCACCGCCGTCGGATTTATGTATAGCAAAAAAACCATCCTAGGGTTTCTCTGCTCTGGACTTGTCCTCGACGCCGGCTAATATTAGCTCAGCTCCGATCAATGCTGGTCCCCGGAATTATAGGGTTTCAGGGCCTGCTGCTGCTCCTCATCTTGCTCTCCTTCTTCGTGATTTGTCACAAGTGGAAGAATGCGGCGGCGAAGAAAGAGGAAATCTTGAGGCTTGTGGCTATGGCTTCCGAAGAGACCGCTGTGGCGGAGTTTCAGGCCACGGCTTTTTTCGCTCCAGTGGTGCAGCCGGCGTCCTGGCCGTACCATTGTGCCGTCTGCTATGCCAGTACCACAATGCGCTGCTCTAAATGCAAGGCTGTCCGATACTGGTTCGTTTTGCTTTTAAAAGTTGTAATTTTTCTTGCTTGGTTTGTACATTTTCTGGATGGTTATGTTTGTGCATTTGCTGTTGCAGTATAATCTACTCTTTATTTTTATTATTTTGTTCTATTGGTGTTTGATTGCGCTATTTACGCGATGGATTCAGCTAGCTGTTTATCACCAAATTTAAGTATACAAGCCAACTTCATTTTTCTTTTTTCTTTTAAAAAAAAAAAAATAAGACATCACATTATGGGCTTTCGTTGAATCCTTGCTGTATGTCTGAACTCAAAATCTGAATTACCATGGGGTGGACATGCTCGCGTAGATATAAACATTGTTTTCTTGAACATTTGTGTGTAGTTCTGGTAAGTGTCAAATCATCCATTGGAGACAAGGTCACAAGGATGAATGTCAGCCTTCAATCGATTCCATGCAGTTCCAAGACAGGAGTGATTTTGATGGGGACACAGTTTTACATCACGGTATGATTTTGTCGATAACAGTAAAAATCTCTATTTTCTGAAGAAGCCTCATTTCATCATTCATGATGGGTGACAATGATATAATTAACCTTATGCAGATGGGAAAGGATCACGTACTAATTTAACTCCATCCAATACCGTATCATGGGATGACAAATCAAGGAAACCTCTTTCTGATGTTGTTGCTCCTGAACAGCCTAGGAATATGTCATCACCCTTAGAGTGTACTAAGCTGGTGAATCATCAAGAGGACATGTCTTGTGAAAACAAGTTATATAAGATGAAATCGAGTCATACTGATAAAGCGGTTGAGTCTACACAAAAATTTCCTAAAGCAAATGCAAACGTATCTGGTGAGGCTCAGCCTGAAAATCTTGGCAGTAAGAAGCAGTCTAGAAGAGCTATTTCAACAGAAAAGTTAGTTACTGATGCCTCTAAGTCCAAAAGCTCATCAAGTAATGACAGGGAAGATGGGTCTAAAGAAGATGGATCTCAGTCAAATAGTGCTTCTGTTGATGAGCCATCTTCGACCACTGAGGGGCATCTCGATTCCATTTCTAGGTCTGAAAAAATCGAAGCTTATCATGCATTGCCTGCAAAATTCAGTAGTATCCCAAGCTTGCCGCAAAATTCTAGTAATGGATTGAAAACATCTATGAGGAAAGTTGTGCAGCAGTTTAGATCCTCAAAACAGCTGAAATGCAACCCTTCAAGTCATGGAGATGAGACTGGAAAATACAAGGTTATTTTCAAATATGTATTTTTTCCTTTACTAATAGTTTCCAGTGTTATCGATTAGTACCAATTTTGTTTTTATACTGTATCATTGACAGGTATTGTTTCCATATGACCTGTTCGTGAAACTATACTCCAACAACAGTGCTGATCTTTACCCCTTTGGACTCATGAATTGTGGGAACAGGTGATGTGGAGAGTTCTTTAGGCACATGACATAGTAACATAAAGAAATTGCATAAAGTGTAACCAGTTTTTTCTTCTGAAAATCCTTTTGTGAACTTGTGCTTACAATCCTACTAGTGCAAATTTTACTTTGTTCATATGCTGAATTTTGCATATTCTCTTCAGTTGCAAATTGTGTAATGAATAATCTACGTTTTTTTTTTCTTTCTTTCTTTCTTTTAAAAGTGTTTTTATTGTATTCTTTCAAAAGTTCATTGAATGTTTGCTGATAATCTCTTTTTCTTTGGATTTCTCAGCTGTTATGCTAACGCTGTGCTTCAATGTTTAGCATTTACTCGGCCCCTTGTTTCTTATCTTCTTCAAGGGCTCCATTCAAGAGCATGCAAGTTTCCTGACTCCTATATATAAGATATATTTGCAGCCAGTTCAATTATTAGAACCATGTGTTTGATGGCCTTTTAATTGACACATTCATCCCGTATGCCAGGTCGAAAGAAGGACTGGTGTTTTATCTGTGAGTTTGAAGTTTTGCTTTTGAAGGCAAGAGAAGGGAAGTCTTTACTGTCCCCTATCAGGATACTATCCAAAATACATAAAATTGGAATTCATCTTGGTCAAGGGAGGGAAGAAGATGCTCATGAATTTTTGAGGTGAGCCAGTTAAAAACTCAACTGGAGAAATATGTCATATAAGATCTGTTTTCCCTTTTACAAATAGGTACCATGCGATGAGTTACTTCAATGGTGAGCCAGTTATAAGATCTACTTATCCTTTTGCAAATATGTACCATATGATCAGTTACTAAGATGGCAGGTATGCTGTTGATACCATGCAATCTGTTTGCCTCAAGGAAGCTGGGGCTGTTGGTCCTTTGGCTGAAGAAACAACTCTAGTAGGCATGACTTTTGGAGGCTATCTCCGATCTAAGGTAGTTTCTGTTTTTGTCGTTTTGTCAAGATTTACTTTTTTTTTTTTTTTTTTTATATTTTTTTGTGTAGAATTGATTGTCCTTGTACAAAAGCACAACCCATTTTACTGTTGGTAATAAAAATCATGGTATGTTTTTGTGATGTCATGATTGGGATTCTCAGATAAAGTGCATGAAGTGCCTTGGAAAATCTGAGCAAATTGAGCGGATGATGGATCTTACAGTTGAAATCGATGGGCAAATTGGAACTCTTGAAGAGGCTCTTGCTCAATTTACGGCTACTGAAACTTTGGACGGGAATAATAGGTACCATTGTAGCAGGTTGGTTCACTAGCTTCAGTATAAATGTTTTTCTTTTTTTATGTTGAAGGATAAAACGCTTACATTACATAGAGAGACCGACCTTAATATTTGTTACATTGTTTGAAAAAGGAATAGGATTCTGATGTGACTTGTAAGGGACTTTGTGGTCTGATTATAGCTGAGGAACCATGTAATATAGTGGAGTTTCTAGTCCCAGAGTGCTCACCTACCTCAATGCTAGTTCCGAAATCATTTTTTCCCCGATTTCGGTTGGGCAATTCAACCTATCTTCTTAGGTGGCCTGGAAAATTTTACATTCATTATGTTACCCATGTATAAAACTATTTTTCCAGGTGGGTCTTAAGTCTTCCTTTTCTATTGTTCTAATTCTTTGATGTATGTTGTTTCCCAACTTTTGTGAAGGTGTAAATCTTATGAGAAAGCCAGAAAGAAATTAACAGTTTTGGAGGCACCAAATATTCTTACAATTGTATTGAAGCGATTTCAGGTAATTAGTTATTGTCTATCAATTGTGAATTGTGCTTTTCACCTATTGGTTTAATATTGTTGATGTTTTTTCTATTACTGTCGATGACTGCAGTCTCGTAACTTTGAGAAGCTGAATAAGTCAATAAGGTTCCCAGAGGTTCTCAACATGTCCCCGTATATGGGTGAAACAAGTGATAAATCCCCTTTGTACAGTCTTTATGCTGTGGTTGTTCACTTGGACATTATGAATGCTGCGTATTCGGGCCATTATGTATGTTATGTAAAGAACAATCAGGGGGAGTGGTTCAAGATTGACGACAGCTCAGTACGTTTTCCTATCATTTCTTATATTTCCATCTCAGTTGGGACTTGGTGTTATTTATTTGGTTATTTTCTGAGTAGAACATTCACACCGCCTGAATCAATGGTTGGAAGAGGCATTTTTTTTGTTATGCCTTTTGACGAAATTGATTAATATATAACATTGTCTGCTATGTTGAATATCTCCATTCTTTTTTCGATGAGAGGCATGAAACCTGCCAATGAATTTCGCATGTATGCATTCTAGACCTGATTCTATGAAAAGAAATGTTTGAAGAATGTCTATTATTGGCTTGAGATTTTTTTGCTTTTGATTTATAATTTTTGTTAATAATTTCAAGAACTTATCGGTGCCATATGCTCTTGTAGGTTGAACCTGTGGAATTAAAGAGGGTCTTATCTCAAGGAGCATACATGCTACTTTATGCAAGGTAACATGCCTGTGGACTAAGCTTTCGAGTCATTTTGTAATTTTGTTTTGGCAAACCACCTAAAAATTTGATATTTCTAGGTGCACCCCACGTCCCCCGGCCTTGCTAGGAAGTAGTGCCATTTCTAATGGTGGGAAATCCAAGAGACGGAACTTGGAAGCTGTTCCTGCAAGCCATACCAAATCCAAGTCGAGATGTAACTCCGCAGTTCCAAGGCCTTACACCAACAATCAATTGCAAAATCCAGATCCAGATGATTGGAGATTCCATGCAACTCATAGAATTCCTGCCATAGATTCATCGAGTGAGAGTTCATCCATATTTAGCTCATCGGATGCAAGTTCTTGTAGCACAGTGAGCACCAAGGAGTCTTCCAGCAATGAAGATTTCTCGGATTACATATTTGGCGAAATGGGACCCAACTGGTACAGCCAATACAGCAGGCATTCGTCCGCTGGGATCACATCTTCATTGTTTCCCAACTTGGATGTAGGTATAAAAGGCCGTAACTTGGAAGGGGAAGGGAATGCCGCAATTTTGTGTAGCGACAGAAGTAGACATCGTAGAAGGTCAACCTTGGATTGATTGGATTCGTAGTAGTAGTAGTAGTAGTAGTAGTAGTAGTAGTAGTAATAGTAGTAGTAGTAGTATAAGTATGGAAATCGAGCAGCAGCAATTTGTATGGTCGAATTCCAACCTTCGGAATGTAAGCTATATATTACGAGCAGATGGAGAAAAGAAATGAGCTCGAACATTTTATCGAGGTTTGAGCTGAAGTGTAAGTAGGAGAATAGGATTAAGGTAATAAGGTCTCATTAAGGTTAATATCTATACTAGCTTATTGAAAAGAAATCAGTCATTATTCATTCACATTTCGAGTGCGTTTTCTTCTCTTCAATCTTATCGTTTGCCAACATTTTGTTTCGGGTAGCGATTTTTGCACTTGAACCTGAATAGCCACACGTCTTGTGGTACACTTGGCACTCACACGAGGAGCGTCAAGTGTACTGTGAAAAATTTACAACTAAAAATGATAATACTTAGCCTCTTACATATAATGAGTTAGTATTATTCTTTTGATGAAATATGCGATAACTTTATCAATAATACCTCAACAGGGTTGTAAATCCTGGTTGAACACCACCCTTATAACTTGGCAAGGCGATGTGCCACGCCATAACGGGTCATTTACATTATGCGACATCACGTTTATATTGTACAATCATTTATCCGAATCATTCATGCTCTGTATTGACATCTATGTGTCAAACAAATCGCTGGTTATGTTAACAAATAATTTGTTCATGATTAATTTTTTTATTCATAATGATGGATAAACGGTCACTAAATTAAATGATTTTTTTTATAAATAATTTTTAGACAATTGTAAAGAGAATGAATCATGTTATGACGTTTGTACGATAAAGAGAATGAGTGATTTCGTGCCGCAAAATGATGTCAAGATTTCAAGCAAGTTACAGAGATACCACATCTTCTTTTGGGTGTAGAAGATTTGAACTCTCAATAAAGGGTAGCAATAGTTAGGCGCCAAGTGAAACGACACCGTGAGTTAAAATTTCCCACAACTGAAATGTCCAATACCAATACCAGTAGCAGCAATAACGGCACGTAATTTCAATCCAAATTTCCAGAAAATCTACCAGTAGGTAGCACCGATCAAGCTCCACTTAGGCATTCCAATCTGGGCTATGGTCACCACCGCCGTCACAACCAGCAGCAATAGCAACAGGAGTGGTGGAGGCGGCGCGTATACGGGCATCAAGGATATAGTGAGGTTCGAAAAAGAGATCTAGAAGAGCAAATTCATCGCCATCGCCGGTCCCATCGCCGACGAACAATCCGCTCAATCCTTCCTCTCCCAGGTACGCTACTTGTTCTACTCTTGTTCCTTGATTTCGTCACAAAAGGAAAAACCGTGGCAAATGAAGTTTTGGTGTTTTAGGTGCGAGAGCAACTAGAGTCCAAACTCAAGTTTTGAGAGAAATAAAATTATATTATTGATGCAAATTAAGCAATTTAGTGGATAAAGAAAACAAAGTCCAAACTGGGAAATGTGATGAAGGACTAGGCGAACCGAACTACACATCAATGTTTGGTTGGCATACCTTTTTTTTTATTTGACAGCTTCACTCTCGTCTTGCGTAGCACAGTTTGAGAGAATAATACTAAGATCATCTATCTAAAACGGTAATATTACTAAGATCATCAATGCGAAAATCAATCTCCCAATGATGAAATATATAAATTAAAAAAAAGTTATATATTGACTGACAACGAGTCCATTTTTTGAGAGATTTTTCAGTGTGACCGGTAGGTGGTACACTAGCTGTTACTATACAAATAGTGAGATATGTATACTAAAAAGTTAATAATTTAAAAAAATAAAATTTCTTGTCACTCTTATTAAAACACGTGGTGTACCACTTGTGTTCCTGTCACAACTAAAAATTTCTCACATTTTTATTCACCCCTTAACTTAAATGGCATATTATAACACCCAAAAAAAAAAAAAAAACCCCACCAAATCTATGTAAATCATCATAAACACAAAATAAGATTACCGAGCTCTTTTTCTTCATTGTGTCTTTGCCCAGTACGTTTCATCAAGATTCCCAAATTAAACCACCAAAACATTTCAGTACTCAAAAGAGAACATTGGACTGAAAGTCTCAACTGTTGTTTATCTGCGACCCGTGACTCACGTTTTGGCATTTAGGTTTCTGCCAAACAAGACCTCAATGCATAGCATAGTTTCATAGCCTCCTGCCAAATAGTGCCTCTTCCTCTTTAATTATGCATACAGCTCACTGGACGCACAAAGTCAAAACACCCAATGCATCTCCTACATTGCTTTTCAACCATAGAAAAATACCTAATATCTACTTTTCCTTCGCTCTTTTCCTCCATACCAAAATCTAGAGCCAAAAAAAGAAAGAAAAAAGTATATTCTCAGATGGGTTATTCTACTATTTTCTTGCTCTTTCTTCTCACAACTACATTTCCTCACCAAAACCCTAATTTTCTCGTCCATGCTGACTCAACCCTGATCCAGAACACATGCAAAAACACCAAGTACTATGGCCTCTGCGTCTCATCCCTCAAATCTGTTCCCACAAGCAAAAATGCAGACACAAAGGGGTTGGCAGTTATTATGGTTGGGATTGGAATGGCAAATGCAACCGCCACCTCATCCTACTTGTCCTCTCAACTCATTAGCTCAAGCACAACCGACACAAACTTGAAGAAGGTCCTCAAGGAGTGTGCCGACAAGTACGGCTACGCCGGCGATGCCCTTCAAGCTTCAGTGCAGGATTTGGGCTCAGAGTCTTACGACTATGCTTACATGCACATCACTGCAGCCGCAGACTACCCTAATGCCTGCCACAATGCTTTCAAAAGGTACCCAGGTTTGGCTTATCCTCCAGAGCTTGCAAGGAGAGAGGAGGGTTTGAAGCATATTTGTGACGTGGCTCTGGGAATTATTGATAATTTTGGTGGGTAACTGTTTATTTCCGACTAGTGTGGTCAATAATGCAAGTTTATTAGAAAAGAAAAAAAAATTCTTTATTTTTCTGAGATTGTTTGGTCTAAGTGCCAATGCTGTTGATGCTTTGTCCTAAACGAGAAATTTTTAGTTGCAATGAAAATCCGGATGGTAGATCATATGTTTTTATGTAAATGATAGAAAATTTTAATTTTTAAGTTATTAATCTTTTAACACACATAACTCACTATTTATACAGAGACACGTAGTGTACTATCTCGAGTGACAGTCACACTGAAAAATCTCTCGTTCTAAACATATATGCAATTTAATTATTCATTATATATTAATATTTCTCCATAATATGATGCCCACTTAGGGAAATGATCATTTCCACCGAGTTCACTGAGACACATAATTCAGGCTTTTAAAATTTGATGAAACAGTTACAAACAATGATCCACTTTAAAAATTATAATAACTTTAATCATTATATTAAATTTCAAATATCTGATTTGTGTATCTTGCTGGACTTGATGGAAAGAATTCCGAGATCCTTTCCCCCCACTTAGGCAGAATCTACTATTAAGTTTTGATTAATTGTCCACTTAACAAAAAGTGTTTTGTCTCCTTTCTTTTCTTTGACCATACTACGGTTTCTTTATCTTTGTGGAGAAGACAGATGTCATAATGGAAGATGACTGATAACACGTCCCTTATAAAGTGATAACTTTGTTCCAGAATTTTCAGAAAGGATAATGCTTGTTTTCTTTTATGATGGAACGTTATAATTGAAGTGATTCTTTCTCTTTATCATTATCTAAAAAATTATATCTAGAAAAAATCATTTAGTCATTCATGCATGTTAAACCATTCAACGATTTTGTTAACAAGTAGCATCTTCGTGATGTATATGAATGACTAAAAGATTTCCAAATTAAATATTTTTTCTTCATATGATCTTTAAGTCATAAGAAGAGATTGCACGGTTTCGATTATGAAATTTCTTTAGTGAAGATACATTAATCATAAGTGGAGGACAATAAATTCACCAATCCTTTCTTTATTATTTATAGTTTAAATTATGAAAAAGTGCAACATGAATTTTTGGAGAGCAAATAGACCAAGAACAGAAAACCAAAAGAAAAAGGCTCGTTTACTAATCTACGATGCAAGGAATTGAAACGAGGAAGAGTTTGGAACGGAGTGGAATCAGAATCAAATTCTTGTTGAAACTGTTTACCAAATTTTTCAGAAATAAGAGTAAGAATAGTACTGAGCTGTGTAAACTGTTTACTAAATTACATGAATCTGAATGAAAATCCATGTGATTACTAAAATGCCCCTATTCTCGTAATCTATTTTATATGCTGTTGAACAACAAAAAAAATATAACATACAAAAAAAAAATAAAGTCCATACAAATTGGATCAAGCTACAAGACAAAACAAAAATGCAATCCAACCCAAAAGGTGAGGATTGGCTTTATCACAAATCAACATCCATAAATAAAAAAATTAAAAAAAAGATATGAATTCCTTCCTACAAAAGGGGGAGTAATGTGCAAAACAGGGGCTCCCCATTTTTTGCAACAAAAGGATGTGGAAGACTGGGACAATCAGTGAGAGAGGTTAAGAGAAAGTGGCGGCAGACATGGCCTCTATCTCCCCCATGTAAAAGCTCCAGAGCCCTCCTAAGATGTCTATAAATATGCATAAGTTGTAGTTACAAAGGTAGACACAGAAAAAGAAATAGAGACTCTATAGAAATTGAGAGACAAATTAAGAGAGAAAAGAAACAACGAAGTACTGTCGGGAGAGGAGAGGAAGTAATCCCATTGCCTGCGATTTTGAACTGAGTCTTTTAGGGAAGGAGAACAAACTACAAAAAATAATCAGAAGGTACAAAACCTATGTTTCTCTTCTCTTCATTTTTCTTTCCAGTAATTTTGTTTTGCAGGCTGATGTTTTCTTGAGTAAACTTTGGTCAACAAATAATCTATACGCTAGCAGCCTCTGCGTTCTTCTATACTGGCAACAACAACATTAAGCAGTCCAAAAAATGGTAGTTGCCACATGTTTTCTTTCTGCCTAAATTTGAAGAGAACAAAAACACACAAGAGCTCCGCTCCCCGCCGCTGTCGTCAACTCCATGAATTTCTTGTGGGTGGTCTAAACCACCCCGTGAAGTTCCAACCAAATCCAAGAGCTCTGCTCCCCGCCGCCGCCTTCAACTCCATGAACTTCTTCGAGGTGGTCTAAACCACCCCGTGAAATTCCAATCAAATCTAAGTGATCCATGCTCGTCGTCCATGCCAAGAAAGAAATGAGCAGTCAGTGTCACGACAAGCAAAAACGAAGAAGAGGATCTAGACTCCCTACTGATAGTACCATAAATAATCTCTAAAACCCCATGTATTTCTTTGGGTTGGTCTAAACCACCCCGTGAAATTCCAATCAAATTTAAGTGATCCATGCTCATCGTCCATGTCAAGAAAGAAACGAAGTAATCGATGTCACGACAAGCAATGGATTTGGATAAAGAAAGAGCAAGTTTCGTTCGACTCTAAATATTGACGGCAACCTGTTCTTCATTCAATCACCAATGGTGCAAAAGCTTGTTGGCAAAAGTAGAACAACATGCTCTAAGAAGATGGCACACTACTGGTGTTCTACACTTTAAAGATTACTCCAGAAGAGGAGGAAGAAGAAAAGTCTTCTAGATAACATGAATGCCATTCACGTCATGTTTGGTAAAGTCAAGAGACTTGAAAACAACAAAGGATCATTCTAATTGCCATCTGTAAAAAAAAATCAAGCAAAGGAAGCAGACACAGGAAGCCAAGTCTTATATGCAAAGTCACTCTTTGCGGTCCAATGAGAGAATAGGTGCATTTGTGAAGTTGTAACACTTGAACTATGAGGAAATCAATATGTTTTTCAAGAAATGAAGTCCGAACCCCTAAGTGCTTTACGGGGTTGTCCTTCTGCAGCTTTACAAAATGTCAGACCAAACATGAAGGTTGAATAAATTCCACAAAGAGTCCTATTAAGTTAATTTGTGGACAACTGAACAAGGGAGAAGAAGCCAAATACAACTTTTGTTCCCCTTGACCGACTCATGCTTGGTCTGATTCCACAAAAGGAAATTCCCCAATTTAACTTTTGATAAAGACCAAAAAAAAAAAAAAAAGAAAAAAAGAAAGGGGGGAAACGAAGTCTCTGTACAAAAGCCAAGTTCTTTTCCAAAAAGAAGAAAGTCAAAAGATGCTTTTAAATATGGCAAACTTTATATTAAACATCTAAAGGACTAGTAGACAAATCAAAGCTTCAAGAAGATTTCGGGAAAAGCATCACTGTGCACAAGTGTTGATGAGAAAGAATAACAAGTATTGAAGGCAACACATGAATGGAAGCCTAAAAAGAGCGTCCAATGCCTACTGTCAAAACCAGTCATATGACTCTCTACGGAGAAGCAGAGATGCCGGAAAGTAATAACCGAACACTAATGCATCAAGACTCATTCAAAATATGGCAGACATGAAGAATGTGTTACTACAAATTTTAGAGTGCAATTCTCACCTTTTGAGCCATGAATTAACACTTGTTTTTAACAAACTCTGGGCTGCAAATCAGAAAGGAAAAATTAACATTATTCCTTGATTTTATAAATTCTAAGAATTCCTTGATTTTATAAATTCTAAGTACTTGGGAAGTTCGAAACCTTTGCTACATAGTGGAACTTTCCCAATTTTACTCCAAGGCAAATGTCTGCTGCAATCAAGGAGATTGAACATCAACCAAAAGAATATGCACATCATCAAAAAGCATTCCTACAAATGGCATCGGCAATTCACAAAACCATGGAAAATACCTTTAAGTCAAGGTGGAAGCAATGTTCAACACCGAATGAAAAAGGATTCACACTGACCAGTCACAATCAGCAAGCACCCTTCCTCTACACATTTGAAAAAGAAAAAACAAAGGCTTAAGACTCCATAAAGAGGATAAAATGAGTCTTCTCCCCTATACATCAGAAGCTACAAAAACTAATGCCCCGAAGACTCAAGTCGGAAAACAAGGCTTTCACAAGCCACTAAGATAAACAGAAACACAACGCAACTCAAATTTCAAATTACCTCTCAGGGGAGACCAGATCAAAATGGAAAAAGGATAAGCAGATTCTGCAAAACAGTTTGTCCAACAATCATGTCAAAAATCAAACCAAACTAGTACTGAAAGCTACTGAAAAGTTAAAATAAATTTAGGCTATGAAAGCTACCAACATCAAATGGGGTTTATCATCTACCAGTATACAAAAAAAAAAAGGTTTTTACAACCCAATGAGGCTCATTACCTAAAGGTCACAACAACAACCAAATCTAAGAGATGTCGTTACCGGTGACACCTGCATGAAAGAATTAAACCAATAAATTAGTTGCAGTTTAGAGCTTCATTCCAAATCAAATCCAGAACACAAAGAAAATGAAAATAGGGTCACCTGCCTATTACCTTCTTTTCCTTTTCATTCTAAATTTTCGATCCATAAAAGAAGCACATGTAAGTTGGTGAGAGTAAGAGAACGATGCAACAGAAAAATAAAAGAGCTTGTGACCTGCACAAAAAAGGCCTTTGTGATTTGAGAGGGAAATGATGGTAAATTGAAGTAATTTGAAAAAGAGTCTGAGCTCTAACAAACCTTACCCATCTTCACTTGGAAAACAATGGTTGCCCAATCCAAATAGAAATTCAAAATACAACGAATTCCACGGGAGCCCAAGTATATCAGAATTGCTTTTTGCTTTTGGAGGAAGAACACTGAGTATTGGAGCAAAAAACAAGGGGATCTCTGAAGCATTTCACGGGGGGATGCTAAGTGAAGTTTGCACCTTACGTGGGATTCTAAGTCCCACTTTAAGCCTTAGGCTAATAAAAGGAAAAGACAAATCAATTTCCTATTTCACAAAGCCTTTAGGTGATATTACCGAAGGTCATATATGGGTTTTAAATAAATCCAATTGGCTTCTTATTTTTCCAAGTTTGAACACAAGTCTACAAATCCAAATCAAATAGTTTACAAACTAAGCCGGTTTGATTCCATTAAAGATACATAGGCAGTCTGAACTGTGAAACCGAGATGAATCCCTGGTTTATATAAACTAAATTCACTTTTGCTACTTTGACCAATTAATTACAAATTCTACAAAGAGTAAAAGAGAAGTCTGCAAGCACAGTTCCTAGATTTCCAATTAATGTATGCTGCTCATGCAATGAAGTTGAAGAAAAGTTTCAAATGACATGAAGCCGTATCAAATATCAAATGGCACAAAGTCATGTCAAGTTTCAAAGGGCATGAAGCCATATCAAATCCCAGATGGCACGAAGCTGAAGAAAAATCTCAAATGGCACGAAGCCGTATCAAATATCAAATGGCACAAAGCTGCAACAAGTCTCAAATGGCACGAAGATGCGTTTTGCTCCAATGGCTCAAAGTCCTTGCCTGCACGAGCTAAAAATGAGCAAGGCACCAAATGCTCTAATAGTTCAAAGTCATTGCCAGCACGAGCTAAAATTGCACAAGGCATCAAAAACTCCAATGGTTTGAAGTATGGTTCGAAGTCTTCGCCTGCACGAGCTAAAACTGCACAAGGCATTAAAAGCTCCAATGGCTCAAAGTCCTCGCCCGCACGAGCTGAAACTGCATAAGGCATCAAATGCTCCTTGCCTACACGAGCTGAAACTACACAAGGAATCAAACCCCAACAAATACATGAAGGAACTACGAGTGACTTGATCCCTCAACGAGGGTACGTAGGTAATCTAGGGCTTGACCTGGGTGCAACCGCAAAGTCAAATAAACCCCCAAATTCCCAAGTTACGATTTATTCATATTGGAATCAAAGGGTTTTTCCTTTTAACGAAGGATTGTAATTAATAGACGCATAATCTAGAATGGGTCGAACTCAAATTAATAAAACCCTCTTCGGAAAAATGAATGAGGGTGAAATTATGTCGAGTGAATTATTTGTTTACATATTGTGTACAATTTTTGCTCAACATATGCTAATTCTTTTTTATTAATTTATTTGTTGGTAAAACATTCTTTTTTTATAACAAACGATGTTCATCTACATGAGGGGGTAAGCTAAACCTTACAATGATAGCAATAATGTGGTTCAAATTCGTCTTTGGCGGGAATCGAACCTAAGACCTCTCACTTACAAGTAAAGAAGAATACCACTAGATCGTAGTACTAAGTGACAACATTATTTTACTTTGTGAGAGAAAACTTTTATTTTTTTTTATTTTTCTTCTAAGAGAACAAAATTTAGTGATGGGTGGAAGGGCGACTTGGAATTTGATAAATAACTGAGGGTATAATGGGGATGAAAAAACAATCCTGATTCCCCCAATAACTCAAAATACAATTATCACCATGTTATAGGTAATCTAATTCTTTCAAATTTTGGAGTTGGATTTAAAAATTGCATGGATCCTACCATATTTTTGTTTCCCCTACAGTCTCACATTTCTCAAATACAACTTCAATAATATATTCTTCTCCATAAGGAGTTATTTATATGAACACAATGAAGCAATAATAGGAAATAAATTAAATCAAACCTTTGTTCACAAAATAATGAAATTTTGACCAAATCAAATCTCTAAATTGCTTTCCCTTATATTTTCCAACCATCTGCAGAATTTTCTACATAGTTAAAAGAGCTTTTGATTGTTAAAAAGTTTTTATTTTATTTTTTTATTTTTTTAACACAAACTCACACATTTGCTGGCCACACTCTCTAATGCAAGTGGGTTCCAAGTAAAAGGGTAAATCCTATCATTGAGAGAGTGTGTAAGCAAATGTATTAATTTTGTATGCGAAAATAAAACTATTAATAATTAGTTGTAAGAAAGCTAACAAGTAAATGTCGCTCCATTATTGATGTTGACTAATTGGCATCGAAGATCAAATTAACGAGCAAATCTGGCAGCAAGAAAAATACCTTGCATATTTGGGCTCACCACTTTGTTAAGAAATATGGGTTTTCCGGCCAAATTCTATCATTTACTATGTTTTATCAGTATTTTTTAGTTTTTAAGACATTTTTTGGGTATTTGGTATAATTTAATTCTTTTCCTATTTGAAATTCTAAAAAGTATAGGGCTAAGAAACACTATAAATCACATTTAGACCATCTCCAACCATGGGCTAAATGCCAAATTCCCACCCCCCCCACCAAAACCCAACCCAACCCAACACAAGCCAAATCTTTGGGCTAAAAGCTAAAAGCCAAACCCAAGCCAAATTCCCCCCAAAATTTAGCCTAGGATTTGGTGTGGGCCTCACTGAAATGAGTGAAACTTGGCGTCTGTGCGCCAATCCCCCCCACCCACTCGCCTGATGCGTGCGACGCGCGACCCTTCAGACAGACAAGGCCCCACCCACATGGCTGTCGGCCACCTTTCCCAGGCGCCCCAACGGCTACTTTGATTCGACTGTCGTGATCAACAGGCCGTTGGTTGATCCAACGGCCTAGATTCAAATTTATATTATTTTTTTTGTTTTTATATTTATATATTTATTGAATCCAACTGATGAGATCGAATATAATAAAATCTAATGATAAAAAAAGATCTAATGACCCAAATTTAAATCCAACGACTAAAATAATTTAAAAAATTATTTAACTCAAAATTTACCAAAAAACTCTATAAATACCTATGTATTTGTTCAAACATACACACAAAACTCACTTTTCTCTTACAATTATTCCAATTTTTCTTTCTACCATTTCCAAATTTTGTGTTTATACATCCCTATCATGATTTTCATATTCTTCCATAGTGTTTCATGAGTTTCATATATGGATTTAGTGATTTTTCAATATTCATTGGAATTTAAATATTTTTAGATTAAAATGTTCATAGAATTAATTTACGATAATCTACATAATAATCTCGGGCTAAAATTTTAGGCCAGAAGGGTTGGAACATAAAAACTGTTTATGGGCTAAAAGCTCAATTGTCTGATTAAAAAATTTGGCTTTTAGCCCAACAGTTGGAGATGATCTTAGAGTGTACAGTTTGTTATCTTCTGTACCTTTAATTTGTAAACTTTGACGTTTACTCATTCTCTGGTGGATTTCAAATTACTTGCTTTTTGATTGAGGTTATCGTTTAATATATTTACTTTGTCACGCTATGTCAATTACTTTTACCAAAACACTGCTCCAACTTACCATTTTTTTTCCACGCACCTCTAGCATTTAAATTGAATAAAATCAAAAGTAATTAATGGACCAAAATAAACAGGATGTGCACAAAGAGAATGGACAAAAATGACTTTTGTCTTTTCATTCAATTGACTTAATAACAGTTTCATGTTGTTACAAATCCATTTTGTTCTACTTCAGTCTGGTAAGTTATGGCAGGAAGATATTATATAATCCCACATTTCCTTTTTCCATATTTATTTTTTCTAACTTTTCTTTCTCTTTTTGTTTTTCATTTTCCAGAAACCTTTACGGTTAATACCATAATCTAGTTACTGGCTTGAGCATGAAGACTTCGAACAAAGATCATACATGGTAAGATTAATTCAATAAATGTTCTATTAAAGTATAATCAAGAAAATACAATCACAAACACAACAATATACATATCCAGAACATATAAAACCGAAAAACTAAAAAGAAAAAGAAAAAGAAAAAGAAAAGGGGAATCATGAAAATTAAACATCCGCACAAGCTCTCCAGAACAATAACATAGAGTAATTAATAAGCCATCGTACAGCACATCCAAGAAATCAGATAGTAGTAGTGTAGTAAGCAAGGAGAACCATGGCGGTTATATATGTGATCATCTCCGGTGGTTTAGTTTGATGGGGGTGGGGAGAGGAATGGAATGCTTGGAATAGTTGATGGAATAGTTGGGATTGAAGGGATTGTTGTGGGAAATGATGGCAGTGGGTTGGCTGGCAATGGAGGTAGTGTTGTGGGAAGAGTGGGCATTGCTGATTTTGGCAAAGATGGAATTTGAGAGCTTGGCATTGGAGGAAGAGCAGTTGGACGAGTAGGCAATGGGTTAGAGGGCAGGGGTGGCAAGGTGGCCTTGGGCTGTGTTGGCAATGAAGGCAGCGGAGGCAATGTGGTCTTGGGCTGTGTTGGCAATGAAGGCAACGGAGGCAATGTCGTCTTGGGAAGAGTTGGCACCGAAGGCAACGGCGGCAATGTGGTCTTCGGCAGAGATGGGATGGTAGGGACGGGTAGTGCTGGCGGTGGAGCTGCTGGCGTGTCCAAAAGGTGGCGAGCTGCTTGGCTCATACGGACGCTTGAAAGTGATAGCACTGCCACCGAAAACAGAAGGAAGAAAATCTTGGGGAAAGCCATGGTTGAACTTGTGACGAAAGTAAAGCTTTGATGAGGAGTTGCTAGGTAATCTCTTAAAATGTTGTTTGTTGTTATGAAGAGTAGAATGTGCCTAGTATTTATAGGAAAAATGGGGGGAAGTCTCTTAGTGCTTAAGTTTGATGAGTTGTGGTTGGAGGAAGCGGGAAAAAGAAAAAGAAATAGTTAGTTCACCTCCCTAAAGACATTGGTTCTAAATTCAAAACCAATCCAACGCAAAAGAATGCTTCAACTCATGCACGCAAGCCAGTACTAAAATGGTTATACGCAAGCCAGTACTAAAATGGTTATTGGACTTGCATTAATTTAGTGAGTTGGTGACGAACCAAATAGGTAGTGCTGTTATTTCCTTGGTAATGGATTGGCTATGTACCTGTGTTAACTTCTCTCATCTTTTTAATTTTTTTTTGGCCTGTTTGTTTTTTTAAGGGTTTAAGGGGAAGACTATGAAAACTTAAGCCGACTCCACTTAGTGTGATAAAGTTTGGTTGTTGTTGTTATTGTTGGTTGTTTTTGCAAGGGGTTCCTTTTGTTTTATTTTATCTTTTTTCTTTTCAAATATTCATCTAATTACAAGATATGTTTGGAAGTTTAAAAGCTGAAATTTATGGGCAAGTCAAGGGCACACAATTGTAGGTGAACAATGGGGGAAACGTACGTGCTTCAGTTGCTTCTTAAATAGCATATCAACCATATTCAACTTCAAGTTCAGTCAAATGTTATAGCTCTATAGGAGAAGATTAATTGACTAATTAATTTATTACCAAATTCGCCTTTGGCAAATATCGAACTTAAGACCTCTCACTTACAAGTAAAGAGGAATACTACTAGACCTAATATTTAATGACTTATTATTTATAATTTAAATTATGAAAGAGTTCAACATGTATTTTGGAGAGTAAATAGACAAAGAGCTGAAAACCAAAGGGTAAATTACACAAAACTACCTCAACCATTGGTTGAACTAGGGGTGGGTTCGGTTCAAATCGGTTCGGTTCAATTTTTTTTGGTTCGGTTTTTTCCGGTTCGGTTTCGGTTTTTTTTCAAAAAATGAAAAAAAAAATTTGAAATCTTAAATTTTAACATATTCAACACAATCATAACATAAATATTCTGACTAGACTTAAAGATAATGAAAATAAACATTTAAAGTTCAACTAGAATTATAACATAAAGGTTTTTTTTAAATATTTTGGGTTTAAAGTTTAACTGTAAATAGATTTCTTTTTAGACGATGATGATGGAGTACGATCTTATTCATTCATTTCTTTCTCTCAATCTCTCTCTCTCTCTCTCTCTATATATATATACATGTATTCTTCACTAGCAATAAGATAAACATTCTATATATAATATTATTTATTATTGTTATTAGTCAAGGTAACAATTTTTTGATATTTCTTTATCTTTATGGTCTGAATTTTTTTTATCTATATATGTGGTTACATAATATAATTTCTACATTCTGTGTTCAGCTTCTACCACCAGCAAATTTTGAAGAGGTGTTTATCAATATTTTTGAATATATATTGATATACTTTTCAAAATTGTTAGGCCACAGAAGCTACTATACTTGGCCATAGGTGAGAAAGTTTGAATTTTGTTTTTGATCTTGTAGTGTTTAATAAACTCATGAGACTTTTATTCGCTGTTTGCTTTCCCTAATCAACTGCAGTGCAGTTGAGATATGTGTTCTTATATATGATATAAACTAGAAATATTGCATGTAATGGTATAAGTTCTAATTTTTGTTGTAGATGGAGAAGCTGAGAAGACAATTTGAATTGGAAAGCAAACAAGTCCTACCAAAGCAGCAGTCCGAAGTATCATATTCTAATATAATAAAATCAAATAATTAAATAAATAAAATTAAAAAAATATTAATTTAATTATTTCGGTTCGGTTCGGTTTCTAGATCACCAAAACCGAACCGAACCAAAAGAGTTCGGTTCGGTTTGGTTTGGTTTTTTCGTTCGGTTCGATTTTTTCGGTTTTGCTTCGGTTCGGTTTTCGGTTTTTTTCGGTTATCGGTTTTTTGAACCCACCCCTAGGTTGAACCACAATTCATACCTCATGTTTTAAAAATTACAATGTCATACCTCATCTTACAAATTTGTTGCAATGTCAGACCTCTGTCAAATGTTCTATTAATTTCTCTGTTAAATGCTGACGTGGCTTGATACAGGTCCACTTCCTAGTCCAGTTGGATTCAAAATTAATTCAATATTCAAAAACTAAAACTAAAATTATTTAAATTTTTTATTAAAGAAGAGGGACCCACCCCTTGCAATCCCATCCCCTCACCCTTCTTCCTCCATCCACCATCTTGGCCGCGAGTCTATCGATTCACTCATTGCTGCTCAAGTCTTCCCAATCCATCCAACCCATCTTCCCTGTCCATCGCTCCCTACCCATCTTCTCCGGAGTTCCTCCTCTAGCGCTTGCCCCTCTTCTTCTTCCTCCTTCTCCCCCTCCTTTTTTTTTTGGCGAGTCATACTGCATAAAAGGCAGGAAGGCGTTAAAGCTTTACAAATCTTACCACCATTCTATTGGGAATTGGGGACACTTGGGATTTCGTAGGAAATAGAGATACATTGCTTTTGGTATTCTATTATGCCATAAAAAAGCTTAAAGCTTTACCACCCATTTTAATGTCCTCCATCACTTGGATTTGTTTACAAATTACAAAATTGTTTCCAATCCTAAGTGTCACCCTCGCACACTAAGAAATCCTAATAAAATACTCAAAACAATTTATCCCCAATCCCTAATGCTACACCCTCACCATCCTCTCCAAAGACAAGATTGTCGGCATAAAAAACCCTGGAATTCCCTGGTTCGATCCACCATGAATGGCGGCCAAACAACGTGAACTCTAGGTGGGTGTTGTTCGTGGCACTGAGAGTAGTGGAACGACGGTGGTGGCGACGATGCTTGTTGTCAGAGTTCGTGGTCAACTCACCTGGGAAGCTTGCCCAAGAAACGATGGTAGAGGAGACGGGTGGGGAAGAAGAGTGAGGGGATGGGTTTGTAGGGTAGGTCCTATATTTTTAAATAAAAACATTTAAATAATTTTAGTTTTAGTTTTTAAATATTTAATTAATTTTTAATCCAACAAGACTAGGAAGTGGGCTTGTAATGACTTGTTCCCAATTTTTACGGTTTATATAATTTTAATAAATGAATTTACGAAAATGCCCTTCGAGGCAAAGATGTTGACTCTTGTTGACTGCTTTGTCATTTCATGTCAGACTCGTTTTCTTGGCATATCCTCATAGTACTCATCACTACGAACGCGTGGGCACAAATGGAACGCAATTTGGAGTTATAACGAAGGAGATATTAACGTTTAAAGTCGGGGGCATTTAGTAAATTAATTATTTCTAGAGAGATACAAATCTTTTTAGCTTAATCTGGAAAGCCACGTGTGTGGCCCAGATTTAAAGGCAAAAAGGATGAGCGGTGGAGATGGAGTATAAAGGAGAGAAAGGAGGGAGGAGCCGAACTAATCAGAAAAGGAGAGACAAGAGGGTGACCAATCAGAGAAGAGAGAAGGGAAAGGAGGGAAGGGAGAAGGAGAGAACCGGCCAAACCCAATTTCACCACCCGACCCGCCAACTTGCCCCACTCATATCTCCTTCGTACGAACTCCGTTTTGGGTGATCTTGGTGTCCATGGAAAGCCCTTGATGAGCCCTACATTTATGTAGTTTTAGATTTCCAAATTTCTTACCTAAATTCACAAATCGAAGCCACAAACCCACGAAGGCATCCGGCGGTTTTAACCTTTTTTCGGTGACTCTGGCCAGTTTCACTGTCGATTATCACACCGAAAGACTCCTCTCAACCCTAGGAGCAAGGCCCAAGCTTTGGTGGTGGCATTGGAATTTGTTTTGGTGGTGAATCAACAACTACCCAATTTTAAGGGTTTCCAACGGGATTCCTATAAAATTTGAAATTTTTTAGAAATAGTTGAATTTTCCGGTGAGTAAGGGCAGCCGACAGCCACCTGCGGTGGTGCGTGGGCCGAGACGTCCCCTGACCTTCTTAGGTTAAATTTGAATACCCTGATTCCATTGGTGAAGTCCGATTGACGAATTTTTGTCATTTGAACGTAGTTCCATTAAGGTCCGCCGTTTGATTATTATAGCAATTGATGATCCAACCGTTGGATCGTCACCAAACTTTGATACGTTATAATACGTAATATTTGAGGATATTAGAAACTATGGATCGGGAATCCGGCGTACGGATCTTCTCGAATAGGATATGTAAGTTATATGTTCTATTGATAAGAATTATAAGATATGATTTGATAATTGTTCTAGGTGCCGATTGTTCGTGACGCCTTGATGTTTGAGCTAGGGAGTTGTAGTGCGGACTCCAGGTGAGTGGGCTTTTGGTTTTCTATATATACAATATATGTTTTCTATTTTCCCAGAAATTGTTTTAAATGGATTTACGTTTTTAAATGTCATGTCATGCTTGCATTTTTTATTATTATATGCATTGGTATGTATATGTATATTATTGTATGACGTTGCGGAGGCCAAGTAAGTTTCAGGTGAGTACTGTATGATGTTAGTGGTTGCATTGGTTAGGGTTATACGTAGAGGCATGTAGAGCTTATTATCCTGCACCCCGGTGTTAGTGCTCCCTCCCATGGCCAGGGCACAGTCCTTCAAGTGAAGTTCGCCTCCTGCACCGCACGCTCACCTTGAAGTTTGGTTCACAGCCCTATCATACATACCACATTAGGTGGTTCTGACTTGTAGGTGACTCGCGATTATTCGCACAGCCTTCACATGATCGTAGCACTTGAGCGTACTTATTTACACCCAGCCTTGTCATACAGACCACAATAAGTGGTTCCGACTCTTGTGCAGGCATATTTGATGAGGTATAGGTTTAGCCGTACATGTCACGTTAGGTGACTCCGGCTGGCATATCATTTTGCATTGCTTTATTTCACCTGGCTTACTT